GCGACGGTCAACACCGCTTAATGAGAATCAACTTCGGATTCGGTGCTTTCTTTACACCTTGAAGTATCGGACGAAGACGTGGTTTATGACCCTCCTTCCGAATTCACTTACTAATTGGGAGGCAATGTATGAGAAGTTCATAGGAAAGTGCAACTCTCTCATCAAAAGACAACGGATCTTCGGACACAAATGGCGAGGTTTAGTCAAGCTCCGGGAGAGACTTTCCATGAGGCGTGGGAGCATTTCAAAGGCTATCAACTTCAATGCCCACACCATCACTTTTTTCTCGGATCTTAAATCAATTCTTATACGACGATCTTCATCAAACCTTGCAATACATGGTGAATCACGTAGTCGGGATGATATCAGGAGCCATACTGAGGAGGAAATCTATGTGTTATAGGAGATGTTAAGAGAAAGTTCTCAAAGGGATAGCGTATGGAAGCGGGTTCCCGTGAATGAAGCCACTCCTTCATCCGGTTCTTCGACAAATGATGCGGTCTTGGCTAAATTGGCTTCTTTGACTCAAGTTGACTCAAGTAGTAATGGTGGAGGTATGTGGAAGTTGTGGAGATTTAAGGCATGGATCCCGAGAGTGTATGAGATTTTTGAACCGGGTTATGATCCGAGTTATGAGGGAGTCTCATATGATGTTAATGCGTTGCAAGGGTATCCTCTACGGGTTCAAAATGATCCTTACTCGAACACACAACCTCGGATGGAGGAACTACTCAAAATTCTTATGGAGGGTTCTGAAGGCGAACTATGGACCACAACTGGCACCTACTCAAGCATTTGCACCTCTTCAAAATCGAGCACTCCAACCGAGGCCTGAGTTCCAAGGCTACTAGCCAAGGCTCGAGTTTCAAGTATACCAACAAGGGCATGGAGGATTAGCCAAAAGGCAACCATTTCCACCTCTACCGGATCCCGAAAAGAAGACAAGAGGTGATTCAACGGATGGACGGATCGAAGCTTTTAGAAGTCCCTTCGATCATTGGCATCCACCATCTCTACATTGTACGACACCGTAAAAAGGGTACCCTTGATTCAAGCCTCTCTTAAATGCTTGGAAACTCAAATGGGGAAACTCGGGACATCTGTAAGAAAATCCAAATGAGCAAAATGAAGGATAATCTCCTGAGTCAACCCGAACATGTCAATGGTATCACAATTTGAAGGAATGGGAAGACGGTGGATAATCATGTGGAAATGCCCAAGAAGGTGGTACGGAAGAGATTATTGAGGAAGAGGATGATGGAGAACTGAGCGAAGAATTTGAGGTCTCGAAAGGCAAAGTTGCAATGACTGAAAAAGAAAAGAAGGAAAAGACGAATCCCATGGCCTCGAGATCTTATTACAAAAGTCGGCTACACCTTATCGACCACCGATCTCCTATCCAAGTCGTCTACAAGATACGAAGAAGAATCGTCAATCAAGAATCTATTTGACATGCTGACGTAGCGAACGAAAGGGAAGAAAAAAGAGATCAAACTCTCAATAAGATATTTTTTATTTCATAAACAACGACCGCTAAATAGAAGAGAAGAAATCTTTTAAATAGAATCCTAAAAGCCTAACTAAATGACTTGTCCAGCAAGACAAGAGTTCTAATAAAGTAATAAATAAATAAGTTTCTTAACAAATCTACAATATCACTAATAATAGTCAAAATAAAGAAAATAAATAATTAATTAAATTAAAGATCTCCATTCCCATCATTCACCCCCTGTCAAAAAGGATTTACCCTCAAATCTGGCGCAATCTAGCCGTCGTCAATATGGACCACATAATGGCCCACTGCAAACTTGACATGGCATGATTCCACTGTAGCTATAGAAGCCTTGAACTTTATCTTTTAACGATCTTCGATTTAACATCCATATATATATAAAAAATACAAAACAGTGATATATAGCCTTATAAATAATATCTAAAATTATTTGTCAAACTAAATTAAAATATATCAAATAAAATTATATTTTATCTTATAAAATAATAGAAATTTATGTGCATTAACATACCATAATATAGCTTTTTCATTTGGAAAACAATATATAAACAAAGCATGAACATTAGTATAAAAAAATAATGTAAAAGTTTATATCTCGACTTAAATAATTTGTGCCCCTAAACTTTCATATTAATTAAAATGCAAACCCTAACGGACAATCTTTTCTTTTTTCTTTTTTTTTGGTACAATAAGGGAGGCCAAAGCCTATTTGCGGGAGATTAAGGTCTGTCGTGGATAAGCCACTCCGACAAGATCATGCTCGAGCCATTTCCGTACTTCCGCTGGCGGGCTGCTCAAACTTTGAAAGGCTCCAGGTCCACGTGCAGCAATAGCCGCCATGCAGTCGGCGACTGAGTTGGCTTCCCTATAAATGTGACCCACTCACACGTTCCACCCTCCATTCAACAACGTCTTGATACTCCGTATTAAAGTCGTATGTATTCGCCACTACAAGAATTATGAGTTTTAGCAACGGAATAATCTGTTGGTAATCAAGTTTCCTAACAGAATCCCAACGGATTACCAACAAATTTTTTTGTTGCTATATGCCTTGTTGCTAGTCATTTACCAACGGAAAATACAATCTGTTAGTAAATTATCAACAGCTTACCAACGGACTTGCAATGGAAAAGCTCCATGACATTGTCAATATATTCTCAACAGATAATTTAGTTGCAAAATAATTCCGTTGCCAAATTACTAACAGAAAGCCAACAATTTATTTACGGATTTTCTAACGGATTACCAACGGATATTTTTTTAACGGATCACCAACGGATATTTTTCCAACACATTACCAACGGATTATCAACGACTAGTTACCAACAGAATACCAACGAAATTTTAGCAACGGATTACCAACGGATATTTTACCAACGGATCACTAACAAATATTTCCCAACAGATTACTAACATAGTTTTGCCAATGGATTACCCACAAATTTCTTCTCAACAAATTACCAATAGATGTTTTCTTAACAGATTACCAACCAATATTTTATCAACAGTTTACCAACAGATTACCAACAATTCTTTTACCATTATCAACATATATTTTACCAACAGATTACCAACGGATTTTTTTCCAACAAATTATCAACAAAAAATTATTCAAACAAAATTCCAACGAATCAACATATTTTCAGCATATATTTTTCAAAAGTTATTACCTAACGAAATGAATACGAACAAATTTTTCCAACGAAACAACACAACATAAAATATCATTCATCCAACTCGGTTAATCCAGAAAAATAAAATCCACACATAATTCAGTTAATCTAACTAAAAAAAAACCTTCAAATAAAATATCATCCATCCAGTTCAAAATAAATGTCATCTAACCACGAATACTACAACACGGCTCTACGAGCATCCAGAAGGTGTGCTCTCTGATGTGTTTATGCGGGCCATCATCAACTCAAACCGTTTATCCATGTCATCAAACTTTTGTTGCACTTCACCCTTATACTTATCTAAGATTTGTTGCACTTCAGCCCGACCCTCAGCTCTTCCCTCCTCACGAATGCGCGCTATATCAACTTCTGAAATTCGAGATAACTTTCCTGCTAATATCTTTGAAACAAATATAAGATAAGCAAAGTTTACAAACGATATATTCACAGGAAACTTGAGAATTAAAGAAAAAAGAAGATACCTGTGAGGCGCCAAAACTCCCAACCCCATATAACCGTTGCTTTTTACTAACTCCACCAACAGCTGTACAATAATGCTCATTTAACTTCATATCTCGTTGTACTTGATCTAAATCAGAATCATTGGTTAAGGATGGATCACTGGCAATAGAAGACTCCACTTCCATCTACCATTAGAACATGTAGCAAAAAAAAAAAAAAAAAAAAAAAGAGAAAAAAAGAATATTCATCAACTATACAATAATTTATATTTACAAAGCATTGATGAAATCAAGTTACT